GGGGGTGGGGGGGGGGTGTGCACACTAGTGTGTACTGTGTGAGGTATGAGTGCACATGCATGCACGCACACACGTGTGTTTTTGAGTGTGCGTGCGTGCGAGAGGGGGTGTGCGCGTGCGCGTGCGCGTGCGTGTGCGGGCGCGTGTGTGCGTATGTGCGTGCGCACGTGTGTGTGTGCATGCATGCAAATGCACAACTCCGTGGCCCCGCACGCACTCCTGTCAGTACACCCGCCGCATTCTGGCCAGCAACTGCCTCAGCTGTGGTGCCCACGATTGCCAATTACCATGCGCACACACTCTTCCCCAGAAAAGAGAACATTTTACTCAGTTCTGCCACCGTGGGTGCAGAGATGCACGGCAGCTTGGGCTCTGGGGTGGGCATGGTGAAATGGAATTTCGAGGAGGAATTCCATTACCACATAGATCATGTCGCAAGTGCTATTTGGGGCGTCGTTCATAGTCAGTAATTAACAAGTTTGATTGAAATGCCGCCTCACAATACCCAAAAGGTTCCTACCTCCACGGTTCCCTGGGTGCGCCTGCGGATCTCCTCGCCAGAGGTGGCAGGCAAACGGCGTCATAGCACCCCAAAGAGGCCAGGGCGCACATGAACCCATCTGCGCAGGCCAAGCGGGCCCCTGCTTGCACACCAGCACACCCTTTGCCGCAGCAATTCCAAGCCGGTGCGCTGTGGCGCATGGAATGTGCCCTTCCTCTCGTGCAGGCAGATGCAGCTGAGCTCTTGCCCCGAAAACCAGTCAGTCGGCTGCAAGGCGCCGCCGGCCGGCGAGCTACCCGGCTGCGGCCAGCTGCGCTATGCGCCCGTCCAGCTCCCTGATGACGTCATCCTCCCGGGAGTACAGCCCAGTGCTCAGCAGCTCGGCACGTTCCTTGAGCAGGCGCACCACCTCGCCCATTCCGCCGCCGCCGGGGCCGCCGTCCCCGGGGCCGCCGCCGCCGGCCTTGCTCGCACCGCTGGCCCCGCCGCCCTTGCTCGTGCTGCCGCCGCCGCCGCCGCCATCTCCAGCCGGGCGCCGGCCCGTTTGGGGCCCTGCAGCCTGGTCCGCGCCCGATCCCAAGGCTGCGTCCGGCCCGCAGCTGCCGCCGCCCTCCTGTGCGCCCGCTGGGCTCGCCGCCCTCGGCCCCGTCGGCAGCCGCCGCCGCCGCCGCGGCGAGCTCAGCAGGTCCACCACCTGCCACAGATCGTCGCCCGCGTCACCGGGAAGTTCACCGTCAACTCTCTCGCCCTCACCTGTCGGCGCCGATCTCCGGGGACTATGACTTCGATCGTCCTCCTCATCCCTTGCTGCGTCCGCCCGGGCGGCGCGATGCTGCGCCGCCTCCTCCCAATCGTCACCGGCGGCAAGCACGTCGTCCTTGAGCCGCCGCAGCTGCTCGTGAAGCCCCGCCAGCTCAGCGCGCCGCGCCGCCGCGAGCGCGGCCTGCTCCCCCGCCGCGGCGCGCAGCGCGGCTGCCTCGCGGCCCGCGGCGGCGGCGCCCTCCTCGTCGCGGCGACGGGACTCGGCGGCGGCGCGGGCGGCGGCCTCGAGCTGCAGCTGCTGCGCCTGGCGCTCCTTGTGCTGCGCGGCGAGCTCCCGGGCCAGCTGCACCACCTGCAAACGTACCGATGCAACAGCGAGCTTGAGCAAAAAGCAGGGTCATGAAAATGGTTGGGAGAGGGGGAGGCAGGAGGCAGGCCGCCTGCGACGCGGCGGGTTTCCAAGCACTTTTGCCGTGCCAGCGCACCTCCCCTCCTGACCACAAATGTGACCCCAGACTTGCGTTCGGATGCACAATTTTAGAAACCTCCTCAACAGTACACACATGGTCGCGTCGGTGAACACGCACATTCACAATGCCACACACACATACACACACACACACACACACACACACCACCTCCCTCCCTACACGCGCCCCGCGCGCCTGCTCCTTGTACCGCTTCTTCGCCGCCAGTGCCTTGGCGGCCCTCTCCCCCTGCTTCTCGGCCTCGCGCCGCGCCTCGGCCAGCTGCTGCTGCAGCACCCCCTCCGGCGTCACGCGCTGCTGCTGCCTGGAAGGGACACGATGGAGAGAGGCGGGGGCGCGCGGGTAAGTGGGGAATGGGGTTGGTCCGCCGCCCGCGGAACAACATGTCACCTACCTGACCAGGCGCGGCCACTCAGATGCCCCTTGCAGGCTTCCCGTGGGCTCGTGGGCATGTCAAATCAGGGCATGTTGATTCCATTCTCACTGTTCCATGCGCAAACGAATAAGCATTGATAGCGGAGCCCGCAGGGGCCCCCGCCAGGCTTCACCTGAAGTCTGCGAAAGCCGCCTCCAACGCCGCCGCCCGCGCCTCCGCCGCGACCACCCGCTCCTCCGCCGCGGCCCTCTGGCGGCCCGCCTCCGCGCAGCGGTCGCGCTCAATGGACAGCTGGTGCTCGCACTCGACCTGGGAGGTTTCCGCGGCCGCCGGCGGTCGGAGCGGCGGTTGCCGGCTGTTGCCACGTATTGTGCTGGGTCGCTTAGGAGACAGGATCAGATTGCGCCGCAGCGCCTCGCCAAAGGCCCACAACACAACAAAGAGCATAGCAGGCAACGGAGACTCAGGTGTGTGAAGCTGTCGAAATAGGCGGTGCAACTGACGTATGAGAAGGACGGTGGGGTACCGCTCGGCAGCTGCAGACCGCACAAAAATCGTCCCCTGACAGGTGTAATTGCGTGCGCACGCGCGAGCGTCGCACCCGCACCTGCAGGCGCCGCACCGCCGCCTCCGCCTCCGCCATGCGCGACGCGTGCTCGCGCTCGAGGTCTGCGCGCCGCCGGGCCAGCTGCTCGTCTGCCGCCACCAGGCGCGCCTCGCGGCCCTCTGCCGCGGCCAGCACCTGGGGCAGCGCGGATCAAAACAAGTGTTACTGGAAGGCTGAAAGTGGCTTGTCTGAACATGGTCGTGCACTGAAAGTCGGCCCTTGGGCTTTTTTAGGGGGGGAGGGCAGGGAAATGGCAGTGGGCGGCTTGGTGCTGTTCCTGTGGTTCGCGCCCTGCACTGCATGCCTCGCAATGTATCCGACAAAGCCTGACGCGGTGCATAGCAGACGAGGCTGCAAGGAGGGAGCGATCACAGCCTCATTGTCGTGGCAGGACAGGTGCACGCCCGCAAGCACCTGTCCTCGGCGCCTGCCTCGGCGACCAGCGCGCCGGCCCGCCGCGCTGCTCAAATTGACAAGCCCCGGCACGCGGTCAACGAGGGCAACCTCCTCTTAAACCCCTGTGCCCTGGCTGTTGCAGCCCCCAACCCCACCTGCTTCGCCCTGGCCTCCAGGCCCGCGTACTCCGCCCTCAGGCTGCCCATCTCCCCCTCCCGCGCCCGCTCCCGCCGCCGCCACTCCGCCTCCAGCGCCGCCATACGCTGCTGCTCGCGCTCCTGGGGGCCGCCGCGCGGCGGGCAATTTTCAGAGTGAGTGTCGGGCCCAGCGGCGAACGGCCCACGTTGCATTGTCAAGAGGTAGAGGCACAGAAACCTTCCCCAAGACAACCTTGCGGAGAACCTCCATGCGTCGCAAGGGCCTGTGCGCCGTCCTCACACATGTCTGCGTGGCGGCAGCTGCTTCCTGTCGTCTTGCAGCAACACTCCTTTGCAACAGAAGCTTCTCTGCATCCCTGGCCCCTTGAAAACTCTTGCTCTGGCAAACACACTAGCGCGCACACACACACACACACACACACACACACACACACACACATACACACACACGCACACACACACACACACAATCACAATGAACACACAAACACACATACACACACACCAGGAAAGCACATGCACACGCCCTGTGGACCCCCACACCTTGAGCTCCGCCCGCCACTTTGCCTCCTCCGCCTTCTTCCACACCTCCAGCTCCCACGCCACCAAGTACTCAGGCGCCCCCCGCGCCGCGGCCGCCTCCGCCGCCTGCGCCGCCGCATGGGGTCCTGTGACACCGCCCGCCGCCGGCTGCGGCCCGTCCGACATGGGCGCCGCCGCGGCGGGCTCGGGCGGGCGCAGGTACGGCGG